CCCCGGCCCCGCCTCCCACCCGCACCGCGGAGGGGCGGGGCCGCGGATGGGGCGGGGCCTGGGAGGTGGTGGAGGGGCAGAGTCCGACTGTAGCTAGCTAGCTAGCTGCTGTGACCCCAGGAGCGGCTGAGGGTGACTAGGGCCAGCGAGCCCCGCTCATTTGAGTTCCTTAGGAGTGGAGGAGGAGCAGCCAAGTGCGAAGCTACACACACAAGCGCGAGGCTTGGGCCTGGTGTGTGCCCACGCGTGCACGCAGGTGTGCCAGTGCGGACACGCGCCGCGGCAGCCTTCCACTTCCTGAGCACAGGGGGCGTGAAGTATCAGGAAAGGGAGGTTTTGGATTTTTATCTCCCTCCTCCACTCTCGAGTCCAGGCAGGGTTTGGGGAAATGAAGTACCGACCCCTAGCATTCCCACCCGACATGAGTGACATCATAGCTTTCCGTCTCCATAGCGACGGGTGGCCCGATCTGGGCCTGCAGCAACTTAACTGTGGGCCTGAAGCGTGGACTGAGTTCCTCTAGCCAAGTACTGAGTGGAAAGTTTTAGGGGAGCGTTTGCGTCCTCTGGTGGACATTTCAGTAGAAAGAGAAAGGGAAGACTAAGGAAGCTAGAACCGGGAGACAGACAGCTCTGTGGGGCCACAGCTAAGCCCCAGAAGCCAGTTTCAGCCTCATCTCATACTAACAATGATCAATCAAACCACCATTTGCATGGCATATTTCGCCTTTTGAAAACTCTCCCTGCCAGGCGTTGGTGGCGCACGCCTCTAATCCCAGCACTCGGGAGGCAGAGGCAGGCGGATCTCTGAGTTCAAAGCCAGCCTGGTCTGCACAGCGAGTTCCAGGACAGACTCCAAAGCAATATAAAGAAACCCTGTCTAGAAAAAAAAAAAAAAAAAGCAAAGAAAGAAAATGCTTCCTTAGCCGGATGTGGTGCTTTTTACCACTTTAATCCTAGCACTTGGGAGGCAGAGGCAGACAGATCTCTCGGAGTCCCAGGCCGGTATGGTCTACATACTGAGTTTCACGATAAACCTTGTCACAAAACAAAGCCGGCAGGCAGGCAGGAAGGAACGAAAGAAGGAAAGAAGGAAGGAAGGAGGGAGGGATGATGGGAGGGATGATGGGAGGGAGGAAGGGAGGGAAGGAAGGGAGGGAGGGAGGGAAGGAAGGAAGGAAGGAAGGAAGGAAGGAAGGAAGGAAGGAAGGAAGGAAGGAAGGAAGGAAAGCTGGCT